AGGCAGGAAAATGTCCCCACTATTCTCCAGCAACCAATGACCCAAGAAATTAAAAGAAAACCTTCGTATTTATTTTGTTTATCTATTTCCTCCATGGGATCTATTTTCTCTTCCTTACCCGTATTCTATTCCTATCCTCACAAAATTCTATGCTCTTTAATATTTTAATGATGCATTTGGTTTCTTTCTTTTGTGCTATTATAGGCTTCTCCAGTGATGTAGACAGTAAAGAATCTGCCTGCAATGATGGAGACCTGGGTTTGATCCCCAGATTGGGAAGATCCCCTGGAGAAGGGAATGGCTACCCACTCCAGTATTCTTGCCTGGGAAATCCCATGGACAGAGGACCCTGGCAGGCTACAGTCCATGGTGTTGCCAAGAGTTGGACANATAGTTTGTTTGCATGTTTTTGTTTTTTGATCTATAGTTGGTTGGTTGAATTCAAGAATGTAGAAACCTCTGAGTAGAGAGGGCCAGCTGTACTGCCTCACAAGTATGGCAGTAATGAAAACTAGCATGCAGGATTGTAGCTCGCTGAAATACAATATGAAATAACTAAATAAAATGCTGCAGTGCATCCTGCTAGAATTGTGGGAATAGACAGTATTGGTGCTTACCTCTGTACCAAGATCTCTTACCCCAATAAGGCAAATCTGGAAACTTGGGTATCACTGGCATGACATGAATTCATGAGATGTTCAAGAAATTGCTTTGCAAATATGAATTCCAGCTTCAGCAATATCTTTATTATTAAATATTTATGTGTGTATATGTACACAAATATAGGAAATGACTTCAAGCATAAAGAAAACAATAAATAGGTATAATCTCATCACTTGGAGAGAACTACAGCTTTTCTGATGTTTAGCTTTACAATCTATATATACATCAGAATGTCTTCTTTAAAAAGAAGGTGGTATGATATGCACTTTGATTTATAATGTACTTTGTCTAGAGTACATTGAGACATTAAGGAAGGAGTTAGAGGAAATGTGTATACAGATCTTTGAGGTGTGTCTGTGACTGAAGCTGGGAAGTAGGTTGGAGGGAGAGGGAAGAGCTGAAGGACGGTTGTCTGTGAGATGGTGGGAATGCACAGGATCCACGGAAACTGCGGGCCTCGGTGGACTGAGGACCGCCTCCTCTGTCATGGCAATGGCAAGAAGCATAGCTGCAGTGGGTTTATAAACAAATGAATGACAAGAAAGTGAATAAAGTTTGCTTCAGTGATTCATCCTTGTCTTCTCTAATGAAATCCAAGGGCAAATCTTCAAGTAATTGAAAATGGAGAAGAGAATGTAGGGGTTTTGAGGGAAGAAGAGAATATATGAAAGTTTTTTTGTGTGTGTGTTGAGAAAAAAGGGTGAATTTTCTAGTATACTATGCNATCCTTGTCTTCTCTAATGAAATCCAAGGGCAAATCTTCAAGTAATTGAAAATGGAGAAGAGAATGTAGGGGTTTTGAGGGAAGAAGAGAATATATGGAAGTTTTTTTGTGTGTGTGTTAAGAAAAAAGGGTGAATTTTCTAGTATACTATGCTGCGGTTGCCAGACAGTATTGAGCTCCTATTTGAAGTTCACGATCACACAGTTCAAAGGAAACCAGTCAGCTTAGCTTTTTAGATGCAAGTACAGAAAAGGTGAATTGTATACGATTGACCCTCAAATAGCACGAGTTTGAACTATGCATGTCCACTTAAACATGGATAGATTTTTTTCTTTCAGTAAATTCTTCATCACGTACTACATCATCCATGGTTAGTTGAATCCTCAGGTGCAAAACCATGGATATGGAGAGCTGACTATGGGACTTGAGCACGAGTGGGTTTGGGGCTTTGGTATCCACAGTGGCTCCTAGAACCAATCTGCGGATACCAAGGAATGAGTGTACTTCTGTCAGAGCTGGAGTTTTGCCAAGTGACTATAACAGAGGAAGCTAAGAGCATTTATGAGATAATATAAGTAATCATAGAAAAACAGTAAAGCAGAGACAGAGGAGGATAAATGGGATATCTTGGAAATCAAAGATTTGTGGCAGCTGGAGTGCCAGAGCAAATTGGCGGGGGAAGAGTTTAGCAGTCAAATATCAGAATGCTGAAAATTGAGTTTCTCATGAGCACAAAGTGCACAGGGTGTCTTGGACCATGTACTTGAATTGATGGGAGGCCATAGAGGAAAATGAAGACTTGAAGGAAAGGAGAAGCAAACTGAATGATTCATGAATGTGGACATGGAACTCACTGTGAATAATGGCAACCATTGTGGTGAAGAGGAGCTGTATGGTCAAGTTTTTTGAGGAAATAAAGGAAGTGAAAAGAGATAAGGAGACAACTGCAGCACATAGGGTAAGACTGTAATTTATTGAGATGTTGTGCATTTTAAAGGAGCAGTGGTTTTTGTGAGGGGAGGGGTGGTAATAGTCTGGAAGCCACAAGGGGAAGCAAGGAGGGACGCTAACCTCAGTTTCTGACCCTAACGTAATGGAGTGTATAAGAAAACACAGTCACTACTTGAGAAGGTTAGAAATAAATTTTGTTCTCAGAGGAGAATTTAGGTTAGGGTCAACTAATGTAAAGTGGTAAAGGGAATGTTCTGAGAAATGAACAGGAGAAAGATTGTTAGGGGAATGAAGAGGTGGGAATTGATTATGAATTGGAGATGAGCAGAGAAATAGGGAGATGGGTCTGGGTGAAAACAAATGTCCAGACAGATCTAGGTTACTGGTGGTGACTGAGGCAAGCAAGGGTAAGAGGCGTTGAATCTGAGACAGTCTTCACAGGACTGTCACTCTTTGAGCACAATGGGACTCAGGCTGTAGGGCCCCTAACAAAAGGGAAGGGCTGAGCCAGCGCAGACTCACTCCATCTTTTTTTGTGAGTGGGCTTCCTCGTAAAGTTTTGCTTAAAGGGCATGTCATATGGCTTTAAACAATTTTAAAGACTACTGTCCCAGCCATCCCTCATCAAGCCTAATCTAGACAAATCTCTACATATTCAAGAAAGGAACAGGTAAATGTTTTTTCTCCCATTTGCCCTTTCACGCTGAAATGGTAGGTGTGATTGGGTCCTAGTTGGGTCTACAAGTGAGAGTTGAGGCAGAGAAGTCAGAGTTATCAGGAGACAGGGAGTCAGGCTGAAGAGGCAGAGACTTCTGATTTTGTTTTTCTTGTCAGACAAGATGTTGGATCTCTTGTCATGGAATAGCATGGCAAACTGTGGAGACAGCCCTATCCATTAGGGAAGATTTATACACATCAACTTTCATTCCAGGCTGAAAAGAGGGCTGAGAGCCAGGACAGACACGTCTTAATGGTACTGATTCACAAGTAAGTTGAAATATGCCCCATCCCCTCCCTCTCCACTCTGCACAGCAGATGACAGCAGCTTCTATTAGCTAACATTTCATTCAGTGGACAAAGGTTAGGCAGTAAGACAGGCCATTTTATTCTTCCCTAGTCTAGTTATTTTCCATCACAGAGGCTGTGCTGTCAGTGACATCAGGGCTTTTAGTAGCTCCCAACCTCCTCCTTCTCATTCTTTTTTTTTTCCAAATCCAAAGTAACAACATCTGGATAATTAGAATGATTAGCATTCCTTTTATAGCTAGAATTCGTGAACATTTGTGTTGGCTGAGATCATGGAATTTCCCCTCACATAATCTCCTATCTTCAGCAATGCTCAGAATCATAATTTTCATATTATGAGAACTCAGTTCTCCCTTTTGGGGCAAAAATCCAAGTTATCTCTCAGCATAGATGAGAAGTAATATCCTAAACCAACACTCTTCAGATAAGTTTCTTTGTTAAGAGATCTTTTTTAATATATTACTCTGATTATTTTCACTGTGATTACCTGATCATACCATTTAATCTATAATATTAGATATAATTTTTATGCTCCCTTCCTGTTATTTTATTGGACTGACTTCCTCCTCCCTATCCTTCAGTTCTTTCCAAGGAAATATTTCCATGCTAGCCCTTAGACTAGATTATGTGCTGTTGTCATTTGTACCCAGAACACTGCATTTTCCCCCTATCTTATCACTTATGTAATTTCTTGTTATTGCTTATTTTTGTTTTCTGTATGTCTAAGAGGGAGGAACATATATCTTGTTCATTTTATATCCCCGATGTTGTCTCAAATATATCATTAATGAATATTTATTGGATGAATAAATGACACATTTTTGAATTTGTAAAATTAGTAAGAATTCGTCTTGAAATGGCTCATTAAATTACTTAAAACTAAATTCTCTCACCTTCGGTGTATTTATTTTACTTTCTGATACTAGGCTAATTTCAGTACCGGAATCCCGAAGGCACTCACTATTAGCTGACGAAGCAGTAGAAGCATTTACCCATTTACAGTGGGTATCCCAAGTTGGGAAAGGTGAACTTTGGAAATGAAACCAATGGTATAGTTCTTTCGGAGGCTCCAAATTGTTCCATGTTTATGAGAAACTGCTTCAGGATTTCACTTCTATTCCCTTTAGTTCCATCCTCTTTCTTCCTCCATTGTGTGTAAAGAAACTAGATTTTTACTCTCAGAGTATTTTTATTATTTTTCTCCATTCAGACAGTGTGGAGTGAATATTTGTGAACAGATCGATTTTGATCAAGAAACGTTACATTTATTCAGGAAATAGACCTCTTTCCTACCTTTCATAAACTTCCCATTGAACTTCAAGTCAGGATATAGTACTTAGGCTCAGAAAGTGAAATTGCTACTGCTGTGCCAAAGGACAAATAAAAAACTGGGTTCCTTGTGGGTGTGAGGCAGTTGTTTCACATAAGGGACAGGATTATGAATAACATTTGTAAGTCGTGGCAGTTGAGGTTTTAAATTAAAAGGGTAACATCAAATATATAATCAATATAAATCAATATAAAATCAGAATTCTGTGCAAATGTCCCTGTGGAAATGTAATTATCAGGTAAGGAACAGGCCTATGTAAGCAGGTCAGATTTTTTAAAATGAAAAAAAAAAGCACAAAGAACTTACTGTCAAATGAATGAGAGCCTTCACCTGCCTTCCTCTGTCAGCTGGAATCCGTAGTATGAGTCAGGTATGATTTGGCAACAGATGATGTTTACCATACACTGGTCCTTGCCACAGAGTGTGTTGTCTTGTAGAATCTAGTCAGGGAAGAATATACCTGATGTGATGAACTGTTTGATGTTTAAGTTCAGGATACATTTTGATAATTTTGAAATATCAGTGAGTATTTTAAATTTATGCTGACCAATAAGCCTATATTTCAGACTTTATATGTTCTTAGAAGCTATGCTATCCTCATTGTATTGAGGGCCCACTGTCTACAAGAGTACTGTATGCTTAAACTAAGGGTACAGTTTAACTAAGATCTTATTCTTGTGAGAACAGGTATGTAATCAGAAACTCAGTATCGTGTATAAAGAAAACATGGAGGAAAAGCACTAAAACTCAGTCTACAGCTTCAGAATAGGCTGCTTGAGCATGCTTCAGTTCAGTTCAGTTTGGTTGCTCAGTCGTGTCTGAAAATGTAATTATCAGGTAAGGAACAGGCCTACGTAAGCAGGTCAGATTTTTTAAAATGAAAAAAAAAAGCACAAAGAACTTACTGTCAAATGAATGAGAGCCTTCACCTGCCTTCCTCTGTCAGCTGGAATCCGTAGTATGAGTCAGGTATGATTTGGCAACAGATGATGTTTACCATACACTGGTCCTTGCCACAGAGTGTGTTGTCTTGTAGAATCTAGTCAGGGAAGAATATACCTGATGTGATGAACTGTTTGATGTTTAAGTTCAGGATACATTTTGATAATTTTGAAATATCAGTGAGTATTTTAAATTTATGCTGACCAATAAGCCTATATTTCAGACTTTATATGTTCTTAGAAGCTATGCTATCCTCATTGTATTGAGGGCCCACTGTCTACAAGAGTACTGTATGCTTAAACTAAGGGTACAGTTTAACTAAGATCTTATTCTTGTGAGAACAGGTATGTAATCAGAAACTCAGTATCGTGTATAAAGAAAACATGGAGGAAAAGCACTAAAACTCAGTCTACAGCTTCAGAATAGGCTGCTTGAGCATGCTTCAGTTCAGTTCAGTTTGGTTGCTCAGTCGTGTCTGACTCTGCAATGCCAAGGACTGCAGCACACCAGGTATGGTAGCTAACCTAACTGTTTAAGAATCAATGTACTTTGGCCTTATAAAGAGGAAGAGAAAGCTATTCTAAGTAGTGAGAACTTATGAACTGGGTATGGAGATACGTGCGTGTGGCGGTGTGTATAGGGTAATTAAACACCTCTTCAAAGACTATAGGAAAGGAAATGGTGAGTTAATCAAAGTTTTGATTATGAAGGTCTTTTATGCTGTATTAATGAACTGGGAATTTATTCCAAGACAATGATTTAAACATGAAGGGTATAATATCAAATGTTTGTTCAGGAGACTCTGAGAGGTAGATATTTTGAAGAATATAAGACAGTGTAGAATAGTAATCTAATGTAGTAATCTAGGTCAGAACTATATACACTCCAAGTAGAGTTTTTGAAAAAGGGGTCAGTAGAAATGGTTGTGCCACCAATAATACAATTCTTTTGTCATTACTAATTAGTAAACTAATTATAAGAGATTTTTAAGACATAAAGTACTAAAAATGTATTTAGGTAAATTGGATGAAAGGTACATATTGGATTCTTAAAACAGCTAAGGGATTTGAGGGATCAGCCATTGGGATGTACATGAGAATCAAGCCAAGAATAAGTTATAACCTAAACTGAGATAGATGAGTTTGAATCTATATGCCAGGAAGTAGATGATGGTGGTTTATTTATTTATTTGTTTTCATGAATTCAGTCTATAGGTAGTTGCAGTTGACAGTTACTTATCTGCATAAAAACTACTGTAAAACACCCTCTAATATTCCTACGGTACCCATTTATACCTATTCTAGTATAAAATTAACATTTTCAGTTTAGATACATAAAATTCCAGAAGAAAGTAAGTTTACTTTTACTGTAGTACCTTAAGACATTCATCCTATCTTCCATAATCTTTGTTAAAACCCCAGTAGTCATTTTTATAGTTATTCATTCAAATGCAGTCTATCTTTTTAATCCCCTCTTTGGGCTTCTTTAAACTCTTCTCTTTGCCTTTTGTTTTAGGTAGTGTTGCTGTTCTCTCATCAAGGTGTTATTTTCTTTATATTTATCCTACCTGGGATTTGTATAGCTTCTTAAATAAGAGGCTTGATGTTTTGATCTGATTTGAAATGTTCTTTGCCAGTATCTCTTCAAATATTGCTTCTGTTTCTATTTTCTATCCATTACTCACATGCTAGAGTTTCATCTACTGTTAGCGATATATGTTGAGCTCATAATTTCAGTTACTGAATCTTTTTTAGTTCTAGAATTCCTGTTTCATTGTTCTTTAAAAATTCTGTTTCACAGGTGAAATTCCATTTTGTTCTGTCATCTATGTACTGATTTCTAGTCATAGTTATTTAAATCCATGCCTGACAGCTCTAGCTTTTGTTTTTCATCTATGACTCTGTTTCTATTGTCTGTTCTTTTTATCTTTTTTATTTCTATATTATCTTTCCATTTCCTGACATAGTTGGTGATATTTTATTAAGTGCCAGACATTGTGAGTGGTGACTTTTGGAGGCTTTGGATGATGTGAAGTAAAAAATTGTCTTTCTTCAGGGAAAATTTAATTTTCCTCTGCAAGACAAACTAGTGTTTCTTAAACACCTTAAACTAGTTCCTTAATAAGAGACAGTTTGTCTCCTAATTATTCACCCATAAAATTGTAATAACTTAGGTATACTGTATATATATATATATTTATGAATGTCTGTATGTCTATGTTTTATACAAAAAAAGTAAATATATATCTTAATTTTATTATATACAGAACTAAAAATGACAATAAAAATTAAAAGCTAACATTTAAAAAGTTATTGATTTAACATTAACACTTGCAACTTTTAATATATTAAATTACAAATGCAAATTAGATGTTTAGGTAAATGCATATTAACAGTAATATAATCATATTTAAAAATCATTTAAAGCTAGTGTTTCTTCACTAAAAAAATTGAAAGCATTCATTTCTTAAAACTATTTTAGTAAATTTGATTTTTAGCTTTTGTATGATATGGGAAAATAGGTTTTAATAGATATCATCTGATATTCTTCACATTTGTTCTTTCAAGCCCTTGACATAATTAATGATGGTTGGATAACTTTTATAGAAATAAATAATAAAATATAAACAATTTTTATTTCATTTTCAAAGTGCATGTCACATAAAAATATGCTGAGGATCAAACATAAAATAACCTATATAAGGTAATCATATTTTAGACACATACCATCTTCTTCTTAAAATGACTTCAGTATTGAACAATAAAGAGAAAGTCCTCGAATTATAACCATCTAGTCCCCATAATTTTATACTACTGATCTTGCATTCACTTTATGTATCTTTTGTGAACTCAGTGTTGATATTATTTGTGTGATATTCAAGAAAACCAAATGACAGAAAATAAATATTAAAGAATAATATTTTATTGCATAGAGTTGGGTTTTGGAGGAAAGTGAACTAATATTTAAGATTTTCTCTTACCACCAAAAGGGTCAATCTTACCTCCCTTCTGTTCAGTTTAGTTCAGTCAAAGCTAACATTTAAAAAGTTATTGATTTAACATTAACACTTGCAACTTTTAATATATTAAATTACAAATGCAAATTAGATGTTTAGGTAAATGCATATTAACAGTAATATAATCATATTTAAAAATCATTTAAAGCTAGTGTTTCTTCACTAAAAAAATTGAAAGCATTCATTTCTTAAAACTATTTTAGTAAATTTGATTTTTAGTTTTTGTATGATATGGGAAAATAGGTTTTAATAGATATCATCTGATATTCTTCACATTTGTTCTTTCAAGCCCTTGACATAATTAATGATGGTTGGATAACTTTTATAGAAATAAATAATAAAATATAAACAACTTTTATTTCATTTTCAAAGTGCATGTCGCATAAAAATATGCTGAGGATCAAACATAAAATAACCTATATAAGGTAATCATATTTTAGACACATACCATCTTCTTCTTAAAATGACTTCAGTATTGAACAATAAAGAGAAAGTCCTCGAATTATAACCATCTAGTCCCCATAATTTTATACTACTGATCTTGCATTCACTTTATGTATCTTTTGTGAACTCAGTGTTGATATTATTTGTGTGATATTCAAGAAAACCAAATGACAGAAAATAAATATTAAAGAATAATATTTTATTGCATAGAGTTGGGTTTTGGAGGAAAGTGAACTAATATTTAAGATTTTCTCTTACCACCAAAAGGGTCAATCTTACCTCCCTTCTGTTCAGTTTAGTTCAGTCAGTCAGTTGTGTCTGACTCTTTGCAACCCCATGGACTGCAGCCAGGATTCCCTGTCCATCACCAACTCCTGGAGCTTGCTCAAACTCATGTCCATCGAGTCAGTGATGCCGTCCAACCTTCTCATCCTCTGTCGTCCCCTTCTCCTCCTGCCTTCAATCTATCAGGGTCTTCAAGGAGTCAGTTCTTTGCATCAGATAGCCTAAGTATTGGAGTTTCAGCTTCAGCATCAGTCCTTTCAGTGAATATTCAGGACTGATTTCCTTTAGGATTGACTGGTTTTACAGTATTAGCCTTGTTGAGAATGCATGGATTAGAGAGATTTCTTAATCCAGTAAGGCACTAAGATGGCTTGATGCTAATTTTCAGCCTTTGTGACTAAACTGTATACTTTGAGAACTCCTGAAAATAAAAAGGATAGGGTATTGATTAATGATCCCTCTTTGACTGGTACTGAACTTCAGTTGTTGTCTCCACATTACCTCGAGACTGTTGAAAGCTCTCCTTAACTTTGTAGACTCTTAACATGCATGCATGCTAACTCACTTCAGTCATGTCTGACTCTTTGTGACCCAATGGACTGTAGCCCACCCGGCTCCTCTGTCCAGCAAGATTTTCCAGGCAAGAAGATTGGAGTGGGTTGCCATGGGGATCTTCCTGGCCCAGGGATTGAACCCACATCTCTTATGTCTCCTGCATTGATAAGACGATTCTTTACCACTAGTATCAC